GATTGGGTTCTCAAAAGCCTCTACGATGCTAATATGAGGGTATCAACTGAGAAATCTAAATTCTTCAAAAAAAGCGTTAGCTTCTTGGGTTTTATAGTCACCAGCAACGGGGCTACCACTGACCCAGAAAAAACCAAGGCCATCCAGGAATTCCCTGAACCCAAAAATGTGTTCGAAGTTAGATCATTCCTTGCCCTGGCCAGCTACTATAGATGCTTCATTAAAGATTTTGCGTCCATAGCTCGGCCCATTTCAAACATCCTGAAAGGGGAATTCGGTAGTGTCAGCAGACACAGATCGAAAAATATCCAGGTGCAGTTCAGCGAGTCGCAACGGCTAGCTTTTCACAAGCTGCGTAACATTCTAGCTTCCGAGGAGGTCATCCTCAGGTATCCCAATTATAAGAAAGCATTTGATCTAACGACAGATGCCTCAGCTTACGGCATTGGCGCAGTCCTATCCCAAGAGGGACGGCCCATTACCATGATCTCGAGAACCCTAAAGGATCGAGAGATCAATTATGCCACCAATGAAAGGGAGCTGCTAGCAATAGTTTGGGCATTGGCCAAATTACGTCACTATCTATATGCAGTGAAAGATATTAACATCTTTACTGACCATCAACCACTGACCTTCGCGGTATCGGAATCCAACCCGAATGCAAAGATCAAACGGTGGAAAGCTCGCATCGACGAGTCCGGCGCCAAAATTTTTTACAATCCCGGCAAGGAAAACCTCGTTGCAGATGCCCTCTCAAGACAGCAACTTAACGTTCTGGGAGAGGAAGAAGCTTTTTCAAGTGCGGCCACGATTCACAGTGAGCTGTCACTGACCCACACAATTGAAGCAACGGATAAGCCCTTGAATTGCTTCCAAAACCAGATAACTCTGGAGGAGGCACGCTTTCCGCAAAAACGCAGCTTTGTCCTCTTTGGAAACAAGAGACGGCATGCGATCAGCTTCTCCTGCAAAGAGTCATTACTCAATGAGCTCGCAGATTTGATTGTTCCTAAGGGCGTAAACGCCATCCATTGCGATTTGCACACACTCGCAATGATACAGGACCAACTGGTACGCCAATTTCCAGCCACAAAATTTTGGTATTGTAAAAATCGTGTAACGGACATTTTTGCAATCCCGGAGAGACGAAAAATTCTGTCCACTGAACACAACAGGGCTCACAGGTCGGCCCAAGAAAATGTAAAGCAGGTACTCTCCGAATACTACTTCCCGAAAATGGCCAAGTTAGCTAGCGAAATCGTCGCTAACTGTAAAACATGTGCTAAAGCTAAATATGACAGGCATCCCAAAAAGCAGGAGCTTGGAGAAACACCAATCCCGTCCCAGGTTGGGGAGATATTACACATAGACATCTTCTCAACGGATAAAAAATATTTTCTTACATCCATTGACAAATTCTCAAAATTTGCGATGGTCCAGCCTATCCCCTCTAGAACCATAGAGGACATTAAACCAGCACTACTACAACTCTTGAATGTTTTCCCGAAAGCCAAGGTCATATATTGTGACAACGAACCATCGTTGAATTCGCATACCATTTTGTCCATGCTGGAAAACCATTTCGGCGTGAGCATCTCGAATGCACCGCCCCTCCACAGTGTCTCAAACGGACAAGTGGAACGTTTCCACAGCACTCTAGTAGAGCTTGCTAGATGCCTTAAAATTGATAAAGGCATCAGTGACACAGTCGAACTAATCTTGCTGGCCACAGCCAGATACAATAAATCTATCCATTCGGTCATCGACAAGAGGCCAGCCGACGTAATTCAAACACAGTCGGATGAACCGCAGTATGAGATTCAGGATAAGATAAAGATCGCCCAGGACAAGCTCAGGAACAGGGAAAATGCTGCCCGACAGAACAGGGTGTTCGAAGTTGGTGAAAAAGTCCTGGTAAAATCCAACAGGCGTCTAGGCAACAAACTCTCGCCATTGTGTGAAGAGAAGATTGTGGAAGCGGACATGGGGACCACAGTCCTCATCAAGGGGAGGGTGGTCCATAAAGACAACATCAAATAGGAAACAATTTTTTTACCTTCTCTTTTGCCTTTTTACCATTTGGCACAAATTTTACTAGCTTTAAGCATAGCTGATAAATTTTTTTTAAGGTTAAGTTAATATCCGTTGGTGGTGGACAACCTTGTCATAAACAAAAATATAGCTCCGAATTCATTCCACAGGTCCAAAATCATCCCAATCCTATTCTCCTTATCCATGGCGTCGGCGCACATCACCGACTACTCACAAGCCAAGTACATCCCCATTATTGGCGGTCGAATACTAGTGTGGGAGGAATTCGCGTTCGTTAGACATTCAGCGAACCTTTCAGAATACAGACGCGTAGTAAAAGAAACAGAAAGTATGAGCGATATGTTCCCCCAGTCACACATGAAAAAACTTTTGGATGTGGACACAGCTCACCTTCGCGACCTGCTCGACTCGTTAGGCGTGCACCACAGGGTAGCCAGGAGTTTAGACTTTTTAGGATCGATGTTAAAAGTCGTAGCAGGAACTCCGGATGCCGGGGATTTAGAAAAATTAAATTCACAGAAACACAATTAATAAATTCGAACAATAGACAAATAGAAATAAATACCAGAATACAAAGTCAAATTAATGAATTAACGTCAACTGTAAATCAAATCCTGAAAGTGGCAAAGAGTTCACAAGTGGACACTGGCCATCTATATGAAACATTGCTCTCCAGAAACAGAATGCTAACAATGGAACTCCAAAATTTAATGATGGCAATTTCGCTTGCTAAAGTAAACATAGTCAGCCCAAACATATTAGATCACGCAGACCTAGAAAGTATTTGGATGGAGGAGCCCTCCGACACTCCTATAAAAGATATTTTGTCCGTAGCGTCCGTGAAAATTCTCCAGTCTGATAACATATTGCACTTCATTATTAAATTCCCAAAAATTAAGTTAGCATGTAAAAAAGATCACAATGTTCCCGGTAACTCATAATAATGTGATGCTTAGGTTAGTGGATAATATAATAGCAGAATGCAATGGGGAAGTGTATGCGATCCAGAATTGCTCCACAACACCAGGAGTAATTTTCTGCCGACTATCATCGAAGACCACATGCGCCCGAGGACTCCATGCAGGTGGAGTTGCGCACTGCAAAACCCAACCAAGCGATTTACATCCAATCACTTATGTCGATGAGGGAATTATAATCATCAATGATCAATCAGCGCAGGTACGAGTAGACAACGGAACAAGCGTCTGGATACACGGGACGCATCTCGTCACCTTTAGTGAGCGCGTCACAGTAAACGAAACCCTGGTTTTGAACCAAAACTCCGCCCAGAAGAGGACTCCGGGGGTGGCAAGCTCACCCTCACTGAACGTCACCATCAGTCAAAATATTCTGAGCCTCCCCTACCTTCACCGCTTGAGTGAACGTAACCTGGAATACATTCAGAAGTTCGGAAGTAAAATCAACACCAACCAGACACACATGGTAGCGATTATTACAGGAGTAATATGTTGCGCATTGATTTGTGTCGGCCTAACCTACGTGCGACTCACCGGTGCCAGAAGATCTGCGGTCCAACTAAGAAGGGTGATCGCTGAAATAGGGTCGGCCGAGGGCGGCCTCAATCTTGAGGGGGGAGTAGTTAACTGAGTAGCTAACCGGACGGAGGCGATGACCGAATGTCCGAAGCCCAGCTGCGGTCAAAAGCGCTGACGCGGCTTTTGGCCGGATGCTCGTGCATAGCCGGCAAACACAGCATATTTGCGTGGCCGCTATGAGTTTCATTTTTGTCAACTTTAATTTTAGTTCGCTTCATGCTCTGTACGAATAAAGAACATAAGTTCTATAGTATTGAAAAACTCCGGCAACCGCCGTTAAATATCTCTTATTATTTTGCACTGACTGAGTCTCTAGGCCAGCAGGCGAAGGGGGCAGTTACCTCCCAACATAAGTCAACCTAATCAGCAATTGTGAAGGCACAGCCATCCGGCTCTGACTGCAGCAAGGGATGCCCGATCTCCACATACGAGTACCAAGTCAAGCCCCCCTCCTCCCCCGCACTACCGAGCGGGCTTCAGCAGGTGCGACCAGCGGTACACAAATTCCTCCCGCGTTTACGGGAGGTAATTACAAGCAGCAGCTTCCAGCGGCCTACTCTCACGTGTGAGTGCGAACGCATTCCCCCGCACCCAAGGGGGGTAACCACTAGCTGCTGGCTGCCAATTGACTATAACGGGCGCTCCCAAAAGCGACCGCTTCCCCCGCGCCCACAAGCGGGCATCTCTAAGAAGACCACCCTAGACAGTGCGGCCACCGAGGACCACCTCAGGCCGCGCCCATCAACCAGATTAATTCATCTCTAAGAAGACCACCCTAGACAGTGCGACCATCGAGGACCACCTCAGGCCGCGCACACAACTATATTAATTTGTATATTGTCCCGTTGTTTAGGTTACGGCTTTAAGTTTTAAGTGTGGCTTGAGTTGGCTTTCTGTGTTTACTTAAATGCAACCTAATAGGTTATGGACTTAAGTGGTAAGTGTCATTCTGTGTTTATTTATAATTGCCCCAAAATTGTTTAAGTCATAGCTTGCAAACAACTGTTAACAGTTTTTTCATAACGCTCTGCTCGCGAGAACAATCGATAAAAACCATGCAATTTCGGTTGTTTACCGAACATTGTACAATTAGAGATGCTAGTGAGGCTCGCGTAGAGAGACTTATTAAAAGACCGATTGACTGAAAAAGTCACCGGAAAAAGTATTTTAAATAATCTGCCTTCGTTTCACTGCAAAGTGGTACGTTGTGTACTAATTTAATATCCAAATTTTACGAAAAAATATTTTTCTTTTAAATTAATTCTTCGTTGTCAAATGACGTTTCATATTTGTAGAGTGAGTACTTGCTAATTTTTCTCTAAAAACAAAAAATGTATGCACTTTTCCCATTTCTAATCAATAAATCAATAAAGCTGACTCTATTTTTTGCAGGTACCAACTGAAGATCAAAAAACAAACATCTCCATATCCTGCGATATTTATGATGAAACTAATTTTACCGAAAATTCTGACATTATAAACGATAGTACAGGTGCACAAAGTGACGAATTAGTGCATAACCAAGTTCCATTGGAAGTTGAATCCCTGCGTCATTATTTGCTTTCCATTGTGTACATGCCACTGTCTTTAAGGATGATTTGCGTGACCAATCTTTTTTGCTGGATGGCACACGTTTGCTACTCACTATATTTTACAGATTTTGTGGGCGAAGCTGTTTTTAAAGGCGATCCTAAGGCAACCGTGGGATCTATACCTCAGCTCCGGTATGAAGAAGGTGTTCGATTTGGATGCTGGGGTATGGCAATGTACTCTCTGTCATGCTCCTGTTACTCACTTATTATTGAAAAACTTATTCAGCGTTTTAGGTAAGTATTTCTTTTACATATCAATAGTATTTACTTAAGGATTCAAGCTGCCCTACTTTATAATTATTTAAAGGGCTAAGCCTGTTTACGTTGGAGGACTTCTTTTCTATAGCATTGGAATGGCCTTAATGGCTTTAACTCGAGCAAAGCTGAGTGTATTAGTTTTCAGTTGGACGGCGGGGATTATGTACTCTACGCTCTTTACAATGCCCTATCTACTGGTTGCTCACTATCATAATGTTTCCACAGTAAGTACCTTAAATTAAATCGACATTTTATGTTCAAACAGAAATAACATTAATATTAAAGATGATGGATTAAAGAATTGCTTTTTAAAAAATTATAAAGGGTTAACCTCATTTCTGCAATCGAACTTTGTTAATATGATAGAAAAATAAAATACAATTTACACTTGTAATAATCAACAAAAATAAACTCGTTCTTGAGTGGCTTTTAAATTATTTAAAACTTTTCAAAAGTACAGTGAACACCTACTGTTATAGTAGGTGGAATAAAGTCCTTCAAGAATTTTCTCAAATATTATGAAATAAATTATTTAGGGTAAATGACTTTTAATAAAAGAATACACCTTTTCATTTCGATATTTGTTTACAGAAGAAAAGTGGTTTATGAACCTTGTATGTAGATTACGTGTTGTTAGCACCATATAAATAATTTCTTATTAGTGAAGAATTGTTGTTCGGTTTAGGTTTTAAAAATAAAAGTAATTTGTATTTTTTCAGAAAAGAGTTAAATTTTTTGAGCACACGATATGGCAAAAAACAAAAAATCTCTCTCTATCAAAACTGCTCCGCATTTCTAGGAGCCACATCCTGTGGCCATCAAAGTGTTTATGCCCTGAACAACCACACGCACTTAGGCAGGCGCATTTCAAAGCACAAAACAGCGATATCCATCCAATCACCAGACGACAGGTCTACAAAAGGTCAAGTAGACAACGTTATCGACTTACGTCACAAAAGTCATCTAAGAAGATCATTCCAAATTGGACTATTTTTTATCAACAATGTGAACGCCCAGAAAAAAATTTAAGTAGAAACCTTGCTTTCATTTTTATTTACCTTCACTGCCAACCAACATGTTCTCAGCCTGCCCGATATTCACCGTTAGAGTAGATGAAATTAAGAGTTTATCCAGGATTCCAGACAAGAAATGGACTGGATGGTAGAGTAGAGAAGGGAAAGAGCAAATTCTTGTGGTCGCTGTGAACTCTCACTAGCCTACTGTTGTATTTAGTTCTGGTTGAAAATACGTATTTATACACAAGTTAACATCAATATTAAAAAAATCTGAAAATAAGTTTAAAAGATGATTTTATTCGCTATTTCATTTGATGGGTGCTTGTTTTCATTCTACTTATCGATACTCAGAAATTGCCAGATTATGACGCTACGGTGGGCGTGAAATGAAGACGAATAGGGCGTAGCTGTAAGAGTAATTTTTAGCTTTAAGAATATTCATGAATTATATAGTTATAGTTTGTTTTATAGTTATAAGAATATTTTTGAATGGAATAAACATATTTTTGAATTTGAATGCGCGGGCGCGCCGTGGTGGCGACAGACGGGAAAACCTGGAAACCCTGGAAAACCTTTGCCGGCAGCCTCGATCAGATACGATAAGCCTACTCACGCAGTGAGTACCCTTACCAGCAGATAGCAATCGTCATTTTGTAGGATTCAGCCTAGTACTGAGACTAATAACTTCTACTCGGTCATACCACAGGGTCTTTGCCATCTCCCACGCGGCGGACCCAACGGGCCTCGCGTTCCCTCACGTAGCAGATCCACAGGGTCTTTACAATCTCTCACACACAATCTCTCTCTCGTAGCAGATCCACAGAGTTTCTATAGTCTCTCACGCGGCAAACCCCAACGGGCCTCGCGTTCTCTCGAGCAGCAGAGCCACGGGTTCTCTGCAATATCTCAACCCGCAGATCCACAAGGTCTCGACAGTCTCTCACGCAGCGGATCCACAGGGTCTCTGCCAGATAACGTCAAGGATGTCTTTTTTCGGCACCCGAATCACACTTATATATTTCGAGTGTTTGTCGCACTCACGAAGAGCAAGAAACGAGTAGCACACCCGAGTGCACAGAATGCTTTGGGTGTTTTGTGTATTTGCTTTTTTTAACCCACTCAACTCTATGCACATGATTCTATTGCACAGACACCCAACACACTTATAGGAAATGAAGGGAGTGTCTGAAACACCCATGTTTCGGGATGAGTGATTCGGGTGTCTTCAACTGATCTGAGTGTTTCGGGTGTCTTCAACTGATCTGAGTATTTCGGGTATTTTCAGCTGTATTGCATGAGCAGGTCATTGATGGTTGACCGAATATTTATGCAAGAAAGGAAGGAAGGAAATCCCAATAATGGTCCCTAAAAAAGGGCAAATTTTTTTGGATTTACCGTGCCAGGCCATCTACCTGCTACTCGCAGTGCGATTGACTTATGATCTTTATTCTTATACGCATCTGCAATAAACGGTAAAAAGCTTGAAGGTAGATGTTTTGCTGACAGGCCACAGAGCCGGCACACGATCCATAATTCTAAGTCCCTTTCACTTCTTAGCTAGCCGATTTGCGGAGACGGCCCGACCCCACCCAAGCGGCCCCACGGCGCACTTCAGAGCGCAGGGACATCATCCCACCCCGTCGGGAACTCTTCCTCCCCAACCCTAAGAACCGTCTACGTCGGAGACTAGCCAGGGTAGCGAGTAAGCTCTGTAAATGTAAATGTACAATAAGTGACTCGACCATATTCTATACCGCTTTAACCCGGGTCATACTCTGGGGCTGGGGTAGAATCTTCTTTTCAGCAACCACACCTGACCTCAAACAAATGTTGGAACGAACTGCTGGCATCCGGTGAACTGTCCCAGCCACCCCAAAGCAGGACCGTTACAAGATCTGCAAAATCTAGTCAATTTGATTGGTTTAGTTTCCTAGTGACTAAAAGTAATAAAATAAGCGAGTAGACCGCTTTGATCCTCTTGTGAACCATTATTCCTCTAATGAGGCCCGTGATTACAATGACCGCTTCCAAGGCTCGCTACTCTTGTTACCGAGCCTTTCGTTATATTTTATATAATAGAGTATAGTATATATATAAGGCTTCTAATTTCTAATGATGCCCCCAATGCGTATTATTTTTTTACCATCTGACTACGCCCACTCAAACGCCCACAAAATGGGGAAAACCAAAAACGCTTAAATCTCAATAACTACAAAAGCTACGGAGTTCGGATTATCAGCTCAAAGTGAAATTTGTATGCAGCCACTATAACGTCCACAAACCGCGAAAAACTGTAGCGTTCATAAAATTAAAATGTATGTATTCGTTGATCTTGTATATTATTTTAAGAGTATATCTATCGATTCACCAAAGATTTTTCAAATCGGAACAATATCTCGGTATTTATTAAGAAATATATTTATATATAACATGATTCTTTGACAAAAGGTTGCTCTTTGTCCATTTCCACTAGCAAAATGCATATTTTAGAATTGTGTAGAACAGTAACGGGTATCTTATAGTCGCGGCACTCGACTACAGCATTTTTACTTGTTTCAACTTGTTTTACATCATCTAACGACCCTGTATCTAATTTTTTGCAATACCTATCGATTTACCAAAAATATTTTATTCGGAGCATTATTTTACAATTTGTTTAAAACACTGTTTCACTGTTAAAATTATTCCTTCCGTCAATTTCAAATAGCAAAATGATTTTTTTTAAATTTGATAAGATTTAGATTTTCATAAAATTAATTGAATTAAAAACATAGAATCATTGTCATTTTTATTATTCCTTAGCCAGACTAAGATCATTTTTCCGTCACGTTCCTTCAATTTAATTTGTTACCCAATTTATCGTCTCCAGCCAGCGTTTGAAAAACTACGCTACTCCCGTAGTTTTTCTTTTGCTGTTGTTACCGCTCTCACTTTTTTCGAGAGCGGAAGCGGAGCCGTAGCAGAAAAACGCAAACTGTATGCTCTACTCTGCTCCGAGCTACGAAATGTTAAGAGCTATAGCCATAGCAATAGCAGAAAATAATATTTTGTGCTATGCGTAGCCGTTGCCGAAAATTGAGAGCAAGAGCAGAGCAAGGTAAAAAAATTTTTTTTGTGCTTAGGGGTATTTTGGCTTTAAATGAAGTTAAACCGACGATCACATCTAATAAGCGGCTAGAATAAAGTAACAATGCATAAGAACTAGAAGCAGAAAAGCCGAAGAAAATACCCGAGAAAAACAAATATTTTTTGCTCTGCTCTTGCTCTCAATATATATCAAAGGGCCTCACGACTTCTACTGATGATAAAATTTCAGATGGTCCACACTATTTCATTCCGCAACAATGTGTGCTGCGGACTCAAATCACTTTAACCAAGTTTACAGTGGTATTCGAGGCAGGTTTCGACAAAAGTGCCCGGAGATCTCCGCATCTGATAGCGCTATTATGCCGTTATACTCCAGCAAAATTTATACACTCTTGCATGCGCTCAAATCAATTGTGGAATCACATTTTTTCTTTTCCTATTAGGGCACTAATTTTTCGCTTGATGTGCGGAAATAAAAAGAAGTCATTAGTTGCCAATTCAGGGCTGTACTTCGGGAGACTCAACAATTCCACGTTTTGGCCAATCAAAAAGGCGCGGGTTTGAGCTGGTGTGTGAGAGCTCGCGTTGTCATGGTGCAAAATTTCTCCGAAGTTTTCAGGCAAACCAATTATGGTATACAGAATTGATCGTCCTACCTTGCTCAAGCGGAACAGTCCCCACATGACTAGTTGCTTCGACCATTTGCTTCGAAGTGCTTTTACCACGAACACCTTTCGTTGTATGTGGCTCATCTTCATAGACCCACACGGTCGATTACTGTTTTGATTCGGGTTCATAAGCATAGATCCATGATTCGTCACCTGTAACGATCATGTTAATGTCGTAATAATACACGTTTGCCTAGGTAAGTTTTTGATTAATCGTGTATCTATACATAACGTGGTCCCACATGACAAAGTTGTATGAATCGATAAAAGTATAAACTATTTTTTGCGAAATAGCCAATTGGTCCTAATATGGCTAGAAGTAACCTAGGCCAGAAATATAAGTAGCAACCCTCGTATCGTCGTGGGAAGCCTTTAAGGAAATTATTGTAAGATGACTGTAGCTGCACTGCTAAAAACTAGAAGAATATAACAGATAAGTTACGAGAGCACATT